TCCGCACACCGCAGATTTAAGTTCGCCCCCGCCCGTAGCAGGCGAGACGCAACCAAGTGCTGGTTGCCGAGGGCGGCGGCCATCAGAGCGGTGGTTTGACCCCTGTTCTCCTGCCGGTCCATATCGGCGCCGCATTCCAGCAGTGTGGCGACGAGCTGCTCGTGGCCACCACCGGCGGCGGCTGTCAGCAGCGTGACGCCGTCATGGCATGAGTCAATCTGTCCGCCGCTGTCAAGCCAAGCCCGCACGGCCGCCTCGTCACCCTGCCCAGCGGCCGCCAACGCCGCCTCGAGCCCTCGCATGCAGAGTGTGCGCGCCCCGCGCCGCGCCTCGCCGCTACGTTGGCTGCGTCGCGCACTCACAATGCCGCGCGGCGCGAATACAGTTCTGGGCGTACGCGCAACACGCAAAAGCATCTAAAAGCGAAATGACGTCGCGAAGTTTAAGTTTCCAAAAGGGGGAGCCGTTGCGGCGCCGCACGGTTGGGGAGGTTGCACACTCGCGTGGGACGACGGACGAGATTGGGGCGCAATTGAAGGCGCTGGCCCCGAAGCGCAATCAACTTGGGTCGGTGCGTTCCTCACACAAAAACACAACCCCGGACCCAAGACGCACAAGCTCAGACAGTCGAGAAAGGGATGTGTTCCTCACCCCTTTTAGATTAGGTTAAGGTAGGCAGGTGAAGAACAGCCAGGCTCGGACTGGACACCAACGCGACAACAAACACTCTCTCTCCCCAACGCGGCCTTCGAAGGGTTATTTCCCGCTCGTCCCGGCTGGCAGTTTGCGGCACACCTTCGGTACAGGGCCTCTCCGATCGCCCTCCGTTGCGCCCTCCCTCCCCGCCCGACGCTCCCCCCCCCCCGCCACACGTCTCGCTCCGCCTCTCGGCAGGTTCCGTGCTCGCGGCGACAGGCTCCGCTCGGGACAGACGCGATGGCGCAGCAACAGCTCGTGCAGCAGCCGCCGACACAGGCTGGCGGCGATGCGCTGATGGGCGACGGCCAGACGCAGGCGCCCGGCGCGTGGCAGCAGCTTGAGCAGCTCGAGGGCTCTGGCATCAACGCCGCCGATCTCAAGAAGCTCAAGGAGAAGGGCTTCCACACCGTCGAGGCGGTCGCGCACGCGACGCGCAAGGAGCTCGGCGAGATCAAGGGGATATCGGACCAGAAGGTGGACAAGCTGCTGGCGGCCGCGCACAAGATGGTCGACATGGGCTTCTCCTCCGCAACAGAAATCTACCAGCAGCGTCAGGAGACCCTCCACCTCACGACCGGCTCCAAGGCGCGCCGCCCCCGCTGCTCGCCATCGCCGCCCGCCCCGCCGCCCTCCGCCCTCCCTCGCCGTCGACTCGTCGCGTCATCCCCCGTCGCCTCGCAGGACCTCGACGACCTGCTGCGCGGCGGCATCGAGACGGGATCCATCACCGAAATCTTTGGTGCGTCGGAGGGGCCTGGCGCAGAGCGCCCCGTCGCGGGGCGCAGCCTCACACGCGGCGCCGCCCGCCCTGGCAGGCGAGTTTCGGACCGGCAAGACGCAGCTGTGCCACACCCTCTGCGTCACCACGCAGCTGCCTCTCGAGCAGGCGAGGCCAGGATGGGCCGAACACTTCCCGGACACTTCCCAGACACTTCCCGGACACTTCCCCGCAAAACTGTGGGTCGGCGGCTCGCCCCGTTGCAGCCCTGCCCGACAGCCCGCCCTCCGCACCCCCAACCTAGGGCGGCGCCGAGGGAAAGGCCATGTACATCGACACCGAGGGCACCTTCCGCCCCGAGCGGCTCTGCGAGATCGCGGAGAAGTACGGCCTCGACGGCGCGCACAGCCCCCGCCGCCGTCTCTGCCGCCGCCGCCGCCGCCGCTGCCGCCGCCGCCGCCGCTGCCTCCGCCTCCGCTGCCGGCCTCCGCCGCCGCCGCCGCACGGCGGGGCCGCCTCAGATCGCCGCCCCCGCAGGTGCCGACGTGCTCGACAACGTGGCGTACGCGCGCGCGTACAACTCGGTGCGAGCCAGCTGCCGCTCCTCGCTGAGTCTGAGAGACGAGAGAGTCATTCACGGCTGAGGAGGTAGGAGCACCAGCTGCAGCTCCTCGCCGAGGCGGCGGGCATGATGTCCGACACGCGGTTCGGGCTCATCATCATCGACTCGGTGAGAAGCAGCACAGAATCAGCACAGATGAGTCGAGTGCAGCACAGACGCAGCACAGATGAGTCGAGATGCAGCCGAGAGGCAGCCGAGAGGCAGCCGAGAGGCAGCCGAGAGGCAGCCGAGAGGCAGCCGAGAGGCAGCCGAGAGGCAGCCGAGAGGCAGCCGAGAGGCAGCCGAGAGGCAGCCGAGAGGCAGCCGAGAGGCAGCCGAGAGGCAGCCGAGAGGCAGCCGAGAGGCAGCCGAGAGGCAGCCGGGACGTAGTTGCGCCGGTCTCGGCTCATCATCATCGACCCGGCGGCTGGTCACCGTGCCACCAGCCTCTGACTGACACACGTCCGCCACACGCCCGTGACACTTGCACGCCGTGCCCTCGGAGGCGACCGGTCTGTACCGCACCGACTACTCCGGCCGCGGCGAGCTCTCGGCGAGGCAGATGCACCTGGCAAAGTTCCTGCGCGCCCTCTCCAACTTGGCCGCCCAGTTCGGCGTCGCGTGCGTCATCACCAACCAGGCGGGCGCTCCGCCTGGCGCCCGGAGGCGCGCGCCGCATGGCCCTGTCGCTGACGCGGTGTGGAGGCGCCGGCTCGCAGGTGGTGGCGCAGGTGGACGGCGGCGCCTCGTTCGGCGACAACAAGAAGCCGATCGGAGGCAACATCATCGCGCACGCGTCGACGACCCGGCTCTACTTCCGCAAGGGCCGCGGCGAGAACCGAGTCTGCAAGGTGTACGACTCGCCCTGCCTGCCCGAGGGCGAGGCGACCTTCGCCATCCACGGGGCCGGCATCGGGGACGCGGCCGAGTGAGGCGAGTGAGCCGAGTGAGCCGCCTCGCGCGGGGCCCGAGGGGGCGGGGGGGGGGGGGGGGGCTCCTGCAGGCCCCCGAACCGGGGAGGGGAAAGGGACCACCCTTCTACCATTGGACCCAGGGCAGGGGAAGCTCATGCGGAGGCCCAAACCCCCAGGTATCGTGGGGCATGGAATACTGGTCGGGGCGCTCCCGCCCCGGCCACTGCAGAGGCCGAGCCGCCCGCCGTGAAGCAGCTCGCCTACCAGACACCCAAATCTCGGCGTGCAGACTGCGGCGCGGCCCGCGCGACTCTGGCGTGAGCTCGGCCCCTGTCGTGTTTCGTGGGCGAGTGCTCCGCGAAGGAGGGCGTGCGCGCGATGTGGGCCGCACACACACTGATCTCTCACTGCTGTGGAGACTGGCGTGTGTGTGCGGCAGCGGGGGCCGCTCGTGTTGAGAGTGGCACAGAGTGTCTACAGTCTGAACTACCGTACAGTGAGTGGCTGGAGGCTGCCCACCACATGTACATGTGTGTGAGAAGCAGAGCGGCTGCAGTCTGCACGCACACACGTATACGTTTGTGAATTTCCTGCCGGGTACATCGAGCTCTCTCTACTGTCTGTACCGACGTCTACCCTCTACTTCGTTTTTGCGACAAGGAACACATCTATATATGTTCACACCAGAGTGCAGAGACGAGAGACGAGAGAGACCTCACGTCTCACGCTGGATGTGGATCACCCCCCGACGACCCGTTCACCCATCCTCTCGCTCTCCCCTCTCCGCCCTCTTACACACGAAAACAGCGTCGTCCAGCACGAATGGGCGATTCGCGGTCCCGAGCAGGCTCAGGCCCTGCGAGAGGTACGGGGCCCGCACGAGCCTCAGCACTCGCAGCCCGCTCCGCTCGAGGGCGATGCAAGCCTCACCAGCCGCCTCCTCCCAGCTGCTCGCGCGAATGGGGAGCGGAACAACGTCTCGCGGAGCGCCGGCCGCCTCGCCCGCCGGCGCGGGCGCGTTGATCGCGGCGTGGTGCGAGACGGCGTGCCGCAGCGGCAGCGGCAGGGCAACCACGAGCCGGCCGCCAGGTGCGAGGAGCGAGGAGAGCGCGGCGAGGAAGGCGTCAACGTCCGGCACTCGGTCGAGCACGTTGAGCGCAAAGACGGCGTCGTAGCCGCAGGTGGGGAGCCCGGCGCTGGCCAGCGCGTGCGCGTCGGCAGGGTCGTGGGCCACTGCGGTCGGGATGCCTCGGGCGCGCAGCCGCCACGCCAGCCACTCGGACACCTCCGTCGCATGAATAGCCTCAAAGAGCGGCGCGATGCGCTCGGTGATGGAGCCGCACCCGGCGCCCACATCAAGGGCGCGGCCGCCACAGGCTCCCTCGCCGAGCAGCGCCCGCCACATTGGCGTGCTCAGCAGGTGCATCTCTGGTGCATCGAGGAGCGCTTGCCGGTCGTACTGCGAAAAGCCGGCGAGGCGGAGCAGCCCAGACGCGAGAGCGTGCACAATGGTGCGGTCGCGCGCTGCGGCGCACGCGCGCGATTCGTCATCCAGCTCGAGCGGCGTCAGGTTGGCGCTAGGGCAGGCGCTGGCGACGGCATCGCGAGAGAAGCTGTACCGCCACTCGAGCGCGCTGGCGGCGGAGTACTCAGCGGGCAGCGGGTCGCTGAGCGCGCTCCGTCTCCGCGTCTCGACGCATACGACCGCCGCGAGGCCGGACGCACAGGCGAGCTGGTAGCGCCGGTGCATCAATTGGCGAAACAAACCCTAGAGGCCCAAGTTTGGGCCTATTCTGTCCCGCGTCCCCGCGTTGGTGTCGTACTTTTAGCTTACTGGGAGAAAAGAGAGAGGGGGTTGTCTCTTGGTGTCCAGTCCGAGCCTGACTGTTCTTCATACACACACGTTGCAAATAGCGTGTTATATAGGGAGAAAGTGGTCGCGCTCTGTAGGATTTTACCGTCAAGCTACGTAATTACAAACACCGCGGCACCGTCACCCTCGGCCGGGGATCCCCTCTCCCCTCGACCCCAGCAGCGCGGCAAAGCTGCCGCCCACCCTCGCCGCGAGTTCTGCTGGCGGCCCCTCCTCGGCGACGGCGCCCGCGTCCATGAGCAGCACGCGGTCCAAGTCGAGGATCGTCTCGAGGCGATGGGCGATGACGAGCATCGTCGCGCGCCGCTCGCGAAGCACGCCTTGAACGACGCCGTCTGTCTCTGCGTCGATGGACGAGGTCGCCTCGTCGCAGACGAGCACCTTGGCGCCGCGCAGAATCGCGCGCGCCAGACAGATGAGCTGGCGCTGCCCGGCGCTCCAGTTGTCGCCGCCCTCGCCGACCGCCTCCTTGAGCTTCTCGGCCGCGTCGTCCGCCTCGGCGCACAGCCTCACCCGCCGCAGGGCGCGCGTGAGCGCCTCGTCGGTGCACGCCCTCGCCGGGTCGAGGTTGTAGCGGAGGTCGCCCGAAAACATGACGGCGTCCTGCATCACGACGGCGATACCCGCGCGCAGTCTGGCCAGCGGCACGCTGCGCACGTCGACGCCGTCCACCGAGATGGCGCCGTTCTCTACCTCGACGAGCCGCAGCAGCGCAGACACGAGCGAGCTCTTGCCCGAGCCCGACCGGCCGACGACGCCGAGCCGCTCGCCAGCCTCGACGGAGAAGGACACGCCGCGCAGCGCCGGCGGCAGCTCCGGTCGGTAGCGCAGCGTCACGTCAACAAAGGCGAGTCGCCCTGCGTCGGGCCACGCGTCGCAGAGCGGTGCAGGCTCGACGTTATGCACACGCGCGGACCGCCTGTTTGTGCGGCGGCGCAACGACACGGCCGCGCCGCCGCCGCCGCCACCCGTGATCCGCATCCGGCACGGCTCCTCCTGCGGCGTCTCCTCGCAGTACTGTAGGTTCCGCTCGACGGAGACGAGGTCGATCTCAAGGCGCAGCACGACCTGCAGCGCGCCTTGCAGCGCGTAGGCGATGCCGAGGCCGTAAGAGAGCGCGAGCCCGATGAGCCCGCCGCTCGACGACGACGAGCCGCCGCCGCCGCCGCCGCCGCCGCCTTCGCCAGGGCTGTCGAACATGCCGACGCCACCGCTTCCGCTCTCCCCGGGCCCGTCGCCACCGCCCTCCGTGGCGCGAGCGGCGACGGCGAAGGCTACAACGAGAGCGACCATGCACGAGCCGAGCAGCTGCACCGACAGGTCGAGCCATCGCTGCACGGCGCCGCGGCTGAAGCGCGCTCGCTCAGCACGCAGCAGCGCCGAGCGGTATCGCCGCTCGTGCAGCGACGTGAGTCGCGCGGCACGGATGAGCGGCGCGCCATGCAGCGCCTCGGTGAAGAGCTGGAAGAGGGGCGAGTTGCGCACTGCGACGAGCCGCTCGAGCTCGCGGCCGGCGGGGCGATAGGCTCGTCCAATTTGCACAAAGAGCAAGAGGAGCGGCAGCGCGGCGAGCGCAAACGTGCGCGTGACGAGCACGAGCACGCCGAGCATCGACAGGAGCTCGAGGAGCTGAAGCACCGAGTGGAAGAGCGTCCAGCCTACCTGCTCGTCGATGGTGTTTGTATCCCGCGTGAAGCGGTTGAGGATGCGCCCAACTGCCGTCGCGTCGAAGAAGGCCTGCCGTGCGCCGAGCACCGCATCGAGCAGCTGCGCGTGCAGCGCGCCGCTCGCGCGCCAGCTGGTGTGCGCCGCGAGGAGGAGGATCAGCATCGTCGTGCCGGCCGAGCCGAGGGAGAGCCCGAGGTACAGGTAGAGCGGCTGCAGCTCCTCCACGCGCGATCGAGGGCTGCCGGCGCCCGCCGCATCGTCCGCCTCGCCGCTCGACCACAAGCCGAGCCACAGGTCGGCACCGCGCTCGAGCGCCGCCTGCACGAGGAAGCAGAGCACGAAAGGGACCGCCGCCAGCGCGCCGCCCGAGCCCTTGATATAATGGCCCAACACGGCGCACTTGACGGCGCCCGACGCGCGCTCCTCCTCGTCCTCCTCCCTCTCATCCTCAGCGCCCGCGATGGCGCTGGCGTCCTCTTCGTCGCCCGCAAGCTCCACCTGCTTCAGCCGCACTCCACCGCCTCCGCAGCGGCTCTTTCTTTTTAGGCCTCTCAGTTCACGACTGAATCGTGAACCGTGAACCGTGAACCAACTAGCCCCCGCCCCGAGTCCGTGAACCCTGAACCGCGAACCGACCAGACCCCGCCCCGAGTCCGTGAACCGCGAACCGTGAACGAGCCGTGAACCGCGAACTGGTTCATGAACCGGGTTCACGGTTCACCCCGCGAACTGAGAGGCCTGGACGCGGCACAAACGGGGTACACCAAAAGGCACGGGCAATTCGCGTGTCTTCCGGTTTTGGATTTCTTTTTTGGAAATTCCACTGGAACTTTCCGTCAAGGCTACTTTCCCTCTCCCAGGCTCGGCCACTGTATGCTCTCTGTCCTCCGAGCACCGGCCCCGCTCGCCTCGATCTCTCGCGCCGCTATCCGTCCCGTCATGACTGCCGCTGCCGCCGCCATGACTGAGGAGGAGAGCTTCCTATTCGACCTCAACGGCTTCCTGGTCGTTCGAGGCGTCTTCACCGCCGAAGAGGTTGCAGCAGCCAACGCAGCCGTGGATGCGCACGCCGCAGAGGAGCTCAAGGCCCGTGGTGCCGCGGCGCTGCGCAACGCCAAGAGCGGCACGCCGATGGCGGCGAGCGGACCACGGATGGATATGGGCGGCATGCTCTGGTGGCAGGCAGATCAGTCGAAGCTCTTTCGCGACATGCTCACACACCCGAGGCTAGTCCCGTACTACCGGGCCCTATGCGGGGAGGGGTACCGGATGGACCACCAGCCGCTCCTCGTCGCGCAGGGGCCCGACTCGGAGGGCTTCAAGTTGCACGGCGGCCCCATCTCGGGCGCAGACGGCGTGCCTCAGGTGCAGCACTGATACCTCCCGTTCTCAGATTGCACACCTCACCCTCGCACCCTCATCCTCGCGCCCTCGCGCCCTCGCGCCCTCAGGGCGTCTTCAACCCGGAGTTGCAGTACCGCTGCGTGCACGGGCAGCTGTGGACGTCGCTGCTGGCCGCCTCGGTGCAGCTCTGCGACCACCAGCCGGGCGACGGCGGCTTCTGCATCGTGCGAGGCTCGCACAAGCTCAACCTGCCCGTGCCGACCGACTTTGCGGACGGGGTGGGCTCGGCCTTTGCCGAGCACATCCACCACCCAGCCACCCGGGCAGGGGACGTCGTCCTCTGGTCGGAGGCGACGGTGCACGGCGCGACCCCGTGGCGCGCGGAGCGCGAGCGGCGCGTCGCGATCTACCGCTTCGCGCCTCCGAACATGGGCTACGGCCGTGGCTACCTCGACATCCCTCCCGGCGCGATGGAGGGCCTCACGCCCCTGCAGCGCGCCGTGCTCGAGCCGCCGTACGCCACCCGCCTCGAGCGGCCGCTCGTCACGGCCAGCGCGGCGGCGGAGGAGGACGGGGCCACGGAGGCGGTGCGGCACCTTAGGTCGGAGGCGAAGAAGGAGCACGACCGGCAGACGCTGGGCACGGCGTACTTCTGACGGACGCTGCGACGATTGTGTCCCGTGTCTGTGGCCGGCTGGGCGCCCCGGCGCGCCGATCCGCGCACAAGGAGCGAGCAGCAGCAGCGCGCGCGCGCGCGCAAGCCGCGCGCAACGCAGCGATTTCATTGATTCAATGCAGGTCGCAGCCGGGTCGCGGGTGTGCCGTCAAGTCTCAGTGGGGTCGTTCCCTCCGTACACAAAGTCTCTGCCGCGCCCGGTTTTACGTGCGACGTCATCACACATAGAGACCGCGTACGAAACACACAGTGTCGACACACACAGTGTCGAGAGACGTTGCTTCGTTGGTCTGCGTGGTCCGTCCGTGGTCAAGTTGGGTGGAGGGGCGCCGCAAACAGCTGTAGGAGCAGCGGGGCAGCGAGCTCTCTCCCCGTCACCCAATCCTTGTCGACCGTCTCGCTGCGGACGCAGCGCAGCGCCGTTGCGGCCTCGACGGCGGCGACAAAGCCAGCGACGCCCTGGCGCGCGCCCTCCGACCGGCACCCGTCGCCGTCGTGCACAAAGAGCGCCCTCGCGTGGGGGCCCTCCAGCAGCCGCTCCGCCGTCGCCGCGAGCCGGTCCGGCGACACGAAGCCGTAGACGAGATCGGCGGCGAGGAGGAGGTCGAACCGGCCTTCCGCCGCCGCCTCGCTCGCCTCGCTCGCCTCGGCGTCGAGGTGCGCCACGCGCACATTCGGGAGGAAGTTCCTCGCCGCGTTCCGCTTGGCGAGCCGGAGGGCGGCGGGGTCGACGTCTGTCAGGGTCACCTCTCTCGCTCCGAGTGCCGCGGCCGCTAGGCCTGCCGCAGCGGTGCCGCACCCGAGCTCGAGAACGCGGCTGCCCGTCAGGTCCAGCCCGGCCCAGTGCGTCTCGCACGCCCACGCGCACAGCTGCGAGGCGCGCCAGAGCCGCGTGCCCGTGCCGGCGCCCCGAGGCCGGCACCACAGCAGAAGCGCCGACTCTCGCACTGCGAGGCGAAGCGTGTGCTCTCCCTGGCCAGACAGACTGGAGATGAGCTCCGAGAGGGCGGCGGCCAGCCCGGAGGCATCGTCCGCGTCGTGAACAACGGCCTGCTGCAGGCGCGGAATGAGCGACGACGCGCAGATGCCCGCTCGCTCTGCTGCTGCGAGCGCTTCTGGCTGCTCGAGCAGTGCCATCGCGGCCGCCGCCGCCCTAAGCCGGTCGACGAGCTGCTGGTCGCACGGCTGGCCGCGCAGGCTAGCGAGCAGGCCGACGAGCTCCTCGTCGGTCGACGTCGTGTCGGGACTCGCGCGTTTCAATATGCGACCGCGCACCCCCAGGAGCTGCGCGCCCGGCCATGCAGCGGCTATGCTTGCTTCGCTTGCTGAGCGAGTCCAACCCGCGGGGCCGGTGAGGGTGGCTGGAAGTATTCAGTGGCTAATTCAGTCCGCCCATAGGGGTGGTTGAGGGGTTGAGGGTTGAGGCCCCCCCTCAACCATCTGGTTGACGGTTGAGACCCCCCGTCAACCCTTTAGTTGGGGGTTGAGGCCTCCGGGGCCTATTCACAGGCTCGCGCGTGATCACAAGTGTCTCTCCGTAGGACCGAGTGACTTCGAGAAGTCACTCTCTTCAAAGCGTTCACACGAGGCATCGCGACCGTTTCTTGCGCCGATCTTTGATCAAAATCAAGGACCCGTGACGAAAAACGGACACACACCAAGCGCTAAGCGTGATGACGTGAGTTCGAATTCGGAGGTGCATCTGAGCAAAATTGGGCCCGCTCAAGATGTGAAAAAAAATTATAAGGGTCAAGGTGCCGATTCGATCCGGAGGCCACTCGATCCTCGAGCGGCGGGCGGCTCGGGTTGGCATCGTAGATGATGGACTGGAGATGGTGCCCACTCAACGTCCGATGATATGGCCAAAAATAATAAATAAAAATAACACATTAAAAACCGAGGGAATTCACCACACACACCGACGCCCGAAGTGCCAAGAAGGACGTCACCAGCACGAAACCTCAGAAGGCCAGTGGCGTCGAGAGAACATTCCCTCGAGAGCAAAAAAAGAAAGCACAACCAAACCTCCTTCCCAGGTTACCCCCGCCAAATGCCGCCGTTCTCGGGGCATGCTATCCTGTGTAAGCAGGGCAGGTGGGGGAGGGGGGCACTCCCACGGACGTATGTATCCGTGGTGACTGTCTCTAGCGTCGGAGGCAAGGGCGAAGCTAAGAATATTTAATTTTTGATCAAAATCAAGGCTAACCAGCCTAGAGATGACCCCTAGACACTCACCTACCTTGCCGACAGCCCACTGCGTCCGTCTGAAGCACCTCAAGTACGCCGGTGAGACGCCCGAAACGGGGTGACTTCTAAAAGTCACTCCGCATGTGGGCCGCCCTCGCGGTCGTCTGACGCGCCCTCCGGCCGCCGCACACTCGCCACTCACCCCGTCTCACCTCTAGATGATGCGGCGGCGCGCACGGGGCACTGCGGCTGCCGGCGCCGCGGCGGCCGGCGCCGCCGCTGCCGGCGCAGGCGCAGGCTCAGGTCGCCGGTACGGCGATGAACGATCGCCGCGTCGCGGCGGGGGGGTGCTGCTGTGCCCGATGCGACGGCTCCTCTTCGAGCAGGTGCTTGGCAAAGCCGGTGAGGGTCGCCAGCTTTTGTCCCGACCGGGCTGCAGATCGCGTAGCCAACCTGGCTCGGGTCCGGGAAGCACTGTGTGCAGTGGTAGGACCGCATGTACCCGCACTGATGCTTCTTGCTTGAACACGAGCACAATAAACACGAGCACAGACGCCGTGTCACCTAGGGCTGTCCGCCTCAAACGTCGCACGGCGCCTCGAATTCGCGCAGACCAATGTAGTCGATGCCGGAGCGTGCGCATTGGTATTGAGAGTCTGAGGTAGGCGGCGGCGCGCAGTAAGCGCAGTAACGCATGCATTCGATTTGGATACCGGCGCTTGCGTGGGAGCGCAGACAGCGTCGGCCGCGGTGTGCCAGCGAATGTGGTGGTCCTCTTGTCCACTGCGTCCGAGCCGAACCAGCTGTCCACACGAGAAGCGGCGGCGCGTGGAAGAGCCACGACGAGGTCGACCGCCTCGACCAGTCAGCCTCCGGCACAGCATTGGGTGCCTGCATGTCGCCGGATTGCGTCGCTTGTGTCATCGCGTAGCGGTGCGGAGGCAGCGCCGTATATCGCCTCTTGCCCGCGGGGACGAGCGCTCAGCGCAATCGTCTCGAGGAAGGAGAAAACAATTTTATGACGAAGTTTTCCAAGTGAACGCCGCCAAGCTGCTCTAAGAGCCTCTCCCGTCGCGGCCCGACTGGGGCCGAGTCCGCGGGGGCTCGCCAGGGGCTCGCACGGTGCACGGGCCGACGCTAGAGCACGTACTGTGCGCGCGGGGGCGAGTGACTTCGAGAAGTCACTAAGTGACTTCTTGAAGTCACTCCTACAGATAGACACAAGATAAATTGGAACAGCCGTGCCGCCAGAAAAAAGGTTCGCCTGCGGCGCGCTCTTGCGCTCCTCGTACTTCGAGCGCAATCCATAAGTAGAAGACGCTCACTGTCGCCATTCAGGCGCCTGATCTTTCAGCAAAGCGATGGCCTACCAGGTACGAGTTCAGATGCGCGCCCGGCAGAAGACGCTTGTGATGCCGCATGCAGTGGAATGCGCACAGAGAACGGACGGCAAGAGAAGGCAAGGGAAGGAAGAGAAACGGCTGGTGAAGCTCAGCTCACGGCGTAGTATCGCGTAAGCAACCGCGGTCACTAACCATCCACGGCAAGAGTCACGGTGAATGCTGCCGCATAAAAGCAACAGAGTCGCGGTTGGCGCGATGATCGTTAACGACTTGACGTTGCACACGGCCATAGACGCAGATCTGTTTGGCGAGCCTCAAGCAGCGGAAGCAGGCGCGAGAAATTAATGTCAATCCTGAGATCTCAATTTGGGCGCTAGTTTCGATTCCTGGTACATCACGACGACTTGGGTCTCATGTAGCTCGATGGCTCTCGACGGCTCTTTCTGGTTGGATGCATCAGACAGTGCTATCAGTCAACAACACAATGCCGAGAGCAGGGCGGCCTTCGAGCAGGGCGGCCTTTGAGGCAACTAAGTTCCTGCTGCATTTTGCCACTCAACTTACAACTTGATGGCGGGCGGACGTGTCGAGCATGGAAGGCGGCCATTGCTCAAACCTGTTCGAGTTGGCCTCCGGGAACAAGGGTGCGTGGCCGGCGCGGTGTCTGTTTCACGACACGTGGCACGTGCAATAAGGGCAACGCCATCAAAATCGCGAACATGGGCCGACATGCCTCCGACATTTCTCAGGGCTCGGACGGAAGCCTTGCAGACAGCCAGACCGCTCTGCGCGGTCGGACCGACTTTTTCAGACTTTACTATTCTGGATACTGAGGGTATGTGCTGCTAGATCTCACTGAGCTGAGCTCGTATCTGCCTTTGGTAAGCACTTTTGAGTTCGGTAATGTCTCCGGAGACGGAGGGCCGCGTCCGCGGACGACCATGACGTCGGCCGGGACCCCCCCCGTGCGGGGGCCTTCGATGGCTGTCAGCGCTCCTCTTTGCATCACACCTCCCATTCACGCACGTAGCTGAAGCAAGTACTCGTAAAAACGGCGCGTCAAATGCAGCATCCAGGCGTCTAAAGAAGACGACATGAATGGTTCACAGAGAATGTGTGTTCAGACCTTTGCGCGGGGGGTGTGAACAGCCATTCCGCGTGGTTGAGGGGTTGAAGGGGTCTGTCAACCACTTGGTTGAGGGTTGAGGCCTCTGTCAACCACGTGGTTGACAGTTGAGGCAATCGGCCTCAACCACCGCTATGAGTAGACTTCAGGGAGGGGGGGGTAGGCCTCGCGGGAAAGGAAGAAAAACTTGCTTCGGCAAAGCCAGATCAGAGTAGAGTGTCGGCAACACCCGCGCAGGTGGGGGTCTACTCTGATGATCCGGCTCGCTCTGGTGCTGCTATCCGTACCGTTCGCATCGACGACGGAGTCCTCCAAGGCGATCAAGGACTGGCGGGCCAGCGGCACAGTGGCCCTGAAGGATTGGCGCGCGGGCGCGGTGCGGTTGATGGGCTATGTGGATGAAGGACTGGCGGTACCGAGCATGGCAGCCGCTCGCTGGCGGGAAAAGAAGGAGCAGCGAAGGAACGACTTCACGGTCAGTGACGTTGAGGATGACTGCACTATAACGACCAAGAAAGTCCAAGGCGGCACGCTCTGCATCTCGCCGCCGATGGACCTCCACGCTGCCCCAGTACCTCTTTCCAGCCTTCCGATTGAGTGGGCGCTGCGCATCCCGCCGGTAGCCAGCGCATAGGGAGCATCGCGAACGAAGCCTCACCGGCCAGCCGGCGGCAGCCGTCCAGGCTCCAGCCGACACCACATTAACCGGCAAAACGCTGTCGTTTGACGTTTCGTGCGAGAAGCCGCAAGAGATTGTCCCAGTCGCGGGGCCAACACGGATGTCCGGCGCACAGAAGATCTCGTCGCGGTGCTATGAATGATATCACACATTGAGATGAGTAGACTGAAGAGCGAAGCGCGTGACACACCACGGCACCGTGCACGGCTCGAGGTGCGGGCCACAGCCCACACGATGAGAGTGGCGCGGCGCAGAGCTGACACTGACTCGACTAGCGACTGGAATCAGTGAGACCCAGCGACACAGCGTCACACACACGCGACACGAGGACGGGGGCCGAGCTCTCAGGGGCCGCCTAGGGCCGCGGCAAGGCCGAGCTCCCAGCAGCGGTAGAGGGCGGGGAGGACATCCAGACCGCCGGCTCGCGCACAATCTCAGAGTTCTCCCGCTCCGCCCGCAGCGCAAACGCCGCCGCGACTCTGTCCTTGGTCGTCGCTCCTGTGGCTGCGGCCGCGGCCGCGGCCAGGCGTGGCCGAGGCGCGTCCAGCGGCGGTGGCGGCGCATCTGGCGGGTCCTCTGCTGGCGCCGCGGCGTTTCTGTCGGCGGCAAATGACTTCTTCTCCTCGAGGATGCGCGCGTGTCCCTGCTGCTGCAGCTCCTCGAGCGCCTCGAGCATTCCCATGCGCGAGCCAAAGATTGAAGCCACGATGCCGACGGCGCCCGGCACATGCCAGCGCCAGCCTCTCCACCGGGTGACGAGCTTGCTGCGCTCGACGCCACGGATGAGGACGTAACCGGCGAGGAATCCGCCGACGCCGTACAGCGCGGTGTTCTTGAAGGCGTACTGCAGGCACAGAATGGCACGGCTGAGGCTGTTGTCGGCGCGGCCGAGGTTTGCGCTGCCGTCGGCATGGATCTGCTGAGGCGTCATTTTGGTGGCAGTCAACGGCCGCGCGATCGACTCGCGGCTGTCGTCGACCGAGTAACTACCTCGCTCCGCGCCGATCGGGCGGCGAGGCGTTATTCGCGGGCTCTCGTCCTGCTCCATACCAAAGGAAAGTACCAGGAAGAAGAAGAAAAAGCTTCCGCTTCTTCTTCGCCTTCTTATCGTCCTTCCAAAATCCTGCTCGTGCAGGTGGGGACCCTGTCCTCCTCCCCCATCCCTCGTCTGGGTTTGTCTGTTTTGTTTGTTTCTTTCTTTCTTTTTCGCCTTCTTGACCAGCACCGGCGTCGGCTGCAGCGTCATGATCTTGAGCCACTCAGAGCCACACGTAGTCTCGTCCGTGTCTGCACTCGTAACTCGAGTAGATAGAGGCGCAGCAGTCTGCGCTAGCCTCACACGTCGCGTGCCCTGTCGCCTGTTGCTGTTCCTGCTGTTGTTTGTGCCCTTGGCACCGTGGGTGCGGGGGGGCGACAGGGGCCGGGCGTGGCCCTGAGTAGCGTTAGTGCCGTACACTTACTCGAGTCACTCGGGATTGTGCGGCAGCCCAGCTGGCTGAGTGTCTTGTGTGAGTTTGTCCGCCAGGCCGCCGTCCACGGCCGAGGGTGCGCGACCGCTCCCTTGCGCACATCCTCGCCTCCGTCGGTGAAGACCTCCTCCATGACGCCCATGGATGCGAGCTTCTCCACCACCGGCTCCACAAACACTGACAAAACAAGCCGGGGGGATCGATCAACAGTCCATGTGGAAAGAAAGAATTTTACAACAAAACTCCCTCGCACGACACTGGGAAAGAAAGAAAACAGGCACCGTTTTTCTCTTGAGAAGAAAGAGAAAGCGGATAGAAAACAAGAACACAACGCACTCTCTCACATGACAAGCGATCCCACGACAGCCGATTGTGGGGACTCTACATGATCCGTACGTGAAGGGTGGAGGGGCCCGCCCGCAGAGCTAGGCGGCGTGGGCGCCCCCCAAGAAAGAAAACGACGGACACCAAACAAGGGGTGGGAGAAGGACAGGCCAGGGTCCCCACCTGCACGAGCAGGATTTGAGAAGGAGACGATCAGGGACACAGGGGAACGGGAGTGGGGAGCGCATCGCGACACGGAGGGGGGCTGGGCAGGGTTCACCCACACACGACAGGGTCCCAGGGATTCCCCTCTCGTATAGGACAAAGTTGCACCCGGCGGCACGGGGGCAGGCGCGGGCCTCCTACTGGTTGCGCTCTCCTAGTTCTCCTGCTTCCGACAAGGGACAGCGACAGGCTCGCAGCGCGGTGCGGTGGACTCCTTTTTCTCTTAATAAATAAATAGAGCAGAAGACATCTCCTGGAGAGATGGGCGACGCACGAACCCGAGGCACAGCGCGCACCCCGCCCCGCTCGCAGGGCGTGACACTCCTTTTTCTCTTTTCACTGCGCGCGGTACGGCGGATTCTTTTCTCTTACTACCATTCCGACGACGCCTTCTGTGAGGAGGACGGCATCTGTGAGGGACGACGGCTTCTATTAGAAGCCGTCGCCTTTGTAGTGCCAGTCCCTACCCGGTGTCGTGCGAGAGACTTTCGGTCTTGGAGCACTTGGAGTGCAGTCGGCAACCGCACACCCAGGGCCGGGGAGCTAAGAAAGTCTTTTCTCTTTTTTCGGCGCCTGGCGCCGTGGATTCCTGTATATATATATATGGCAACTGTCTGCACTCCGCGTGCTGCCCGCACCGCCTCCGCCGCCGCCCTCACCTCTGTGCTCATGCAACCGGCCGCCGCAAAAAAGCTGGCGGAGCTGCAAGAGCTCACACGCCGTCAGGCCGAGCTCGTCGCGGCCATCCTCCAAGACTGCGATGGCGGAGGCGGGAGAGCAGAGCCGGACGAGGTGCGCCAGAGCCTCGACAGCGCACTGAGCGAGGAGCAAAAGCCCGTGGATGACGGGCAGGGCGGGTGCACCGCCGCTCCTGCTGCTGTGGCGGAGGCGGAGGAGGCGGAGGGGGAGTCGAACCTGCACCAAGTGCTGCGGAGGTGCTCTTCTCGTGCAGCTGTCTCAGCTGTCGCCGCCGCTCCCGAGTCGACGGCTGCGGCGGCAACCCGCTCGAAGGCGCCTCCTCCTCGGTCGCCTCGCACGCCGCCGCCGCGGGCAGCCTCGCGCGCCTTCTCGATTGCCTCGTGCGCGTGCTGCCTGCTGGCCGCGCCGTGGACAGTGTGGTCGCTCACGCTGGGGCAGCGCAGGGCCGAGGTCCTCGTCCCGCACTCGACGCCGCACGAGCTGTGGCGGCTGCTCGTCATGCTGGGCGTCGCCTTCGTGGCGGTGGTCGTGCCGCTCGAGATCGCCTTCGACGACCACTTCCACCCAAAGCTGCCGTGGGCGGTCGCCAACGTCGGCTTCGACGTGCTCTTCCTCGTCGAGGTGTACATCGCCATGCGCACGGGCTACTACCTCGACGGGATGGTCGTGCTCGAGCCCGCCGCCGTCCGCTCGCACTACCTGCACACGCGCTTCGCGCTCGACCTCTTCGTCGCCGCCCCCTTCGCCTGGTTCGTCGGAGGCGACACTTTCGACGGAGACAGCGACTACCACTCGGGCACGCCGGCGATCGTCCGCGTGCTGCGGCTGCTGCGGCTGGGCCGTGTGGTGCCGAAGCTGATCCGCAACGACCTCGCCAAGATCCGCCCCTCCACCTCGTGGCTCCACTCCCACGTCTCCCTCCCGCTCGAGCGGCGCTTCGGCCACGCGGCCGGCCGGGTCGCGCAGCTGTCGGCGCTGCTGCTGATTGCGTGCCACTGGAGCGGCTGCCTGTGGTGGCTGGTCGGCACGACGGGGTGCAATATCTACGACGACGACCCCGCCGCGTGCGATGACGGGTGGGGTCCGAGCTCCGAGCTGCAGGCCGCGGGACTGCGGGACAAGTACGCGGTCGCCTTCCTGTGGGGCGCCTCCCTCATGACCTGCCTCGTCCCCTTCGACGTCGAGCCGACCACCACCGGCCAGGTCGAGGCACAGCCGAGAGGTGGCCGAGAGGCGGCCGAGAGGCACAGCCGAGAGGCGGCCGAGAGGCACAGCCGAGAGGCACAGCCGAGAGGTGGCCGAGAGGCAGCTGAGAGGCACAGCCGAGAGGTGGCCGAGAGGCGGCCGAGAGGCACAGCCGAGAGGTTGGCCGAGGGTCGAGTAGTTCAGCTGTGCGCCGACGGCCCTCTCTCCCCCCCCCTCTCTCTCTCCGGCACAGGTCGCCCTCACCGTCGGAGGACTCTTCGTCGGCCTCTTCATCAACATTGTCACCATCGCCGCGGCGACCGCAGCCCTGCAGACGCTCGACGCCAAGCGCGGCCACGTCCTCAAGCGGCTCGAGCTCATCCAGAGCTTCCTCGCGCGCAGCGACGTGCCCGAGGGTCTGCAGCGGCAGGTGCTCGACTTCTTCACCTACCGGCTCTCCTCGTCGCAGCAGGCCATGCACGAGATCGGCTCCGACCTGGCCGGGCTCCCGCGCGAGCTCTCGCTGCGCCTGACGATGGCGCTCTACGGCGACCTCCTCCAGCACTGCCCCTTCTTCCGCCCGCTCTCCTCGTCGGCGGTGGTGGCGCTCGTGCAGCAGCTGCAGCCGATGGTCTGCATGCCCGGCCAGCTGCTCGTGGAGGTCCTCGGCCGGCGGGTGCGGGCGCGAGACCGCCCGAGCTTGCCCGAGATCACCCGAGATCGGCCGCGCGTGTAGGAGGGGCGGCCCGTCGACACGCTCTACCTCGTGCGGCGCGGCACGGTGCGCGTGTGGGTCAAGTGGGGCTTGCCCGAAGAGCGCACCCTCCTCGCCACCCTCGGCGACAACGACTTTTTCGGAGAGCGGGCACTCGAGGGCACCGACGGCCGCACGGCCTCCGCGCCGCCCGTCGCGCAAGCCACCGCCGAGTGCGCGACGTACTGCGACCTGCTCGTGCTGCCGCGCCACGTCTGCGAGGAGGTGCTCGCCGCAGAGCGACAGCGGGGTCGAGCGGGCCGCCACAGCCTAGGCCACAGCCAGCCAGCCGCGGTCCGGGCGAGCTGCGGAGGAGGCGGCTTGCGCCGCTCGTTGTCCACATCGCCACCCGTGTTGCTCGCGCAGCCGCCCCCGGATGCCACGGCGCTCTCGACGGCGCTCTCGGACGAGAGGTCCGCGCTGGAGAGCCTCGAGGCGCTACGCCGCGGGACCACGAGCCACGGCGCCCAGCCCCGCCCCCAGCGCGACAGCGACCCGTCGGGGCGGAGGTCGGGGTGGAGTCGCGTCCAGCCCCGCCCCACCGGCGAGCTCGAGCGCGCAATCGTGCAGGCGTCGCGCTCCCCCGCCCGCGCAGAGCACGTCCCCCCCGACGGTGCGGCGCCGCTCCCGCTCGTCCCCGCGCCGCCGCCGCCGCCGGCTGTCGAGTCACCGACGGCCCCGTCGCACGCCCGGCCGCGCCCGCGCGCGGAGGGCTACTCGAACCTCTCAGAGTGAGGCGCCGGGGGGCGTCGTGGGTCCGTGTGCAAACGAGCTTGCCTCTCGTGTGTCGCCGAGGAGGGGGACAAGTACACACCACCACGACGATTTGGGTCTCAACTCTCATGTAGCTCGACGGCTCTTCAAACGGCTCTTTCTGGGTGCACCCACTGGGTGAATCGTCAGACAGTGCTATCGCAGTGTCAGCTGGGGCTGGGATGGCTCTCGCGTCTCGGCGCTCCTCCGGGCTTATACGTTATAGCATCACACGGATAAGTGTGGCCATCTTATTCTTAAGTAGATGCGGCATGCGCCACGCTGCCCGCGGCGTTTCTCACTTTTTTTTCGGAACAGCCCCGCCCCTACGGGGTGTGGACCGTGAGTTGACCAGGGGTTGTGCGCCGGGCCCTCCTGCTCGGCTCCAGCGAGTAGACAAGTGTTACCATCAACAGAGGAGAAGGATCTGACCTCAGGGCTGATGTGACCAAGCGCTGGTAGCGTGGTTTCACCTCACACCCGAGTAATGGAAATCTCTGCGCAAGAACAGTAGATCGTTGGGGTAGAGTCAGTAGATTAAGACTGGAGATCCTAGCGGATCTCTCACACGGACACGCCCAAGTCTCGCCAGTAGATCCCTCCTGTCCGGTTCCCCATTCAAGACTAAAGAACGAAGATTGAGATTGTGGATTGCAGATCGCTGAGCAGCAACACGGGCCAAAATGTGGGAGATAGGAGATGGAGAATGCAGATTGTAGATCCTAGCGCCCAGCCATCCGCCCCAGATGTGAGATCGAAGATTGAAAATGGAGGTCGTAGATTGCTGCCGGCGGCGACAGTGGCCAAGTAGAAGATTGGAGATTGGAGATGAGAGATGGTCAGTGTGAATGAATCCAAATTGCATCTCCTTGAAGGTTTGAGCCCCCCTCCTCCCCCGGGCCCCCGAATCGAGATTGGAGATTGGAGATTGGAGATTGGAGATGGAGATCGGAGATCTGACTGAATCCGGCCTAAGATGACGACGTTGGGAGATTGGAGATTGAAGATGGAGATCGGAGATCTGACTGGATCCCCGGCCTAAGATGACGACGCTGTGGATTGGAGAGTATTGGAGGTGGGGAGGTCGGAGCCCACCCACCCCCTAGTGGTGTTGATAGATGTTTTATAGATTTTTGTTTTTTCCTGTGGTCTGTGCGCGGACGGCCCGGGGAGCCTGCGGCGCCATCTTAATCTGCGCTCCTCTTTATGGCCTGCGGCGCCTGGCTTGAGCTTGGAAGTGTAAACGAGTCCGCCAGGTGGGTCTGCAAACACGGAGCGCGCTGCGCGCGGGGTCTGCGGCCAACTAGTGTGCCAAGTCGGGCTGCTCTACGCTCATACGGCGCACCAGCGCTGCGCTACGCCCAGGCTCATGGACCGCTACAAGATAGAGCCCTTTGGCGTTGCCAACAATCTCTCTTCTCCCC